TTTAAATTTATTTTTAATTTAATATTATTTTATGAGGGTTTTTTATCTAGTTGTGACACCAATGCACTGGGTCATTTTTCCCATGAAAGCTCAATATCTTAAGCTTACTTACAAAGAAAAATGTAGATGCTCACACATCTCTCCTTGATAAATGAGAGCCGTCAGAAGCCAATGATCCCAGTGCACAGAATACATAGTACTTGACAATGTGAGCTCAACAACAATGAAGAAATACTTTTTACAGTCCACTATTTTGTGACAAAAGGGTCTAGATTGCAACCAGTCTGACTGTAATTTACTTCCCAAGAGAAGATTCTGAGAGCATTCTGTGTGAAAATCATTTTATGTTTCTTCCTTCCTCTAAACCCATTATTTTTCCATGGAAGCAAGTATTCTATGCTGTAACTTATGCAATACTAATTACACAAACTGTGCCGATTCTAAATGTGTATACATCTTTATTGTGAAAGCTTACTTTTTTCAGTTTTTTTTTTTTAATCTAAAATATCAAACACAAAATATACATAGCATTTGTTCTGTGTACAGAAACACTGGGAGACATTATTCTCTGTCATAAGGATTTTATGTTCAAAGGTCCCAACTTTGCAGAAAACCTAATAAAGTATATACTCATTTTTACAGTTAACTCAGTAGGAACACTCACAGCATGTGTGAGTCTTCGCAGAAATAGTACTGATGTCACTAAACCTGTAAATGTTACACAAAAATGTATTCACCTGTAATTACACTAAAACTTTAGTAACTTTTTTCCTAAATAACCTCTTTCAAATAAAACCCTGATCAACCACCCCCAATCCCCAAGATTCTTTGCAGAATCCACATCCCAACATTATTCCTCAATGTCATGCAGGAACAGCTATGGAATTATAGTGGAAATGTGCATGCCAGCATACAGCACCACCATCTGAGGGGGACTGCATATATTATCACCACTGGTTTAGTCACGGTTCAAAAGAAGTCAGCCTTGAACTCATTAATTAAAGAATTCAGCTGTATTCCCTAGAGAGGAATTTGAGTGAGAACCAAAGGGTGACTACAGAATGGCTGCTGCTTTGCAATATGCCAAAGATATTTTTGGATTTATTTTTAGAGTTAAATCTGTACTGTAATTAATAAGCTATTAAACAGAAAAGCTATGTGACTGCATAGGTTTTCAAATGGCAAAACAGTTAATTTCTAGGGAACTGTTCTTATTAATTTACGAACATTTTACAGCCTTGTATTTACATTAGTTCAGAATTTTACTTGCAGTATATGTTACATTTTCTAGCCTATTCATTACTGTATGGATTTTTACAGGGATGCCTTTCAACGAACCACAGCACAGGAACAGAGAGAAACCCAGAGACAGTACACAGACTCAGGTAGCTCGAAGAATTAATACTGGGATGTTAGTCTCCTCAGTTCAGTACCTGTTAACACTATTGCATCCAATACTCTTCTCTCCTCTGTGCTGAGGTGGCATCTGCAAGCACCAGGCTGCTCACTACCTTACTCCTCCATCGCTGGGGCAGTAACATGGCCAGTCTCCCCAGTGGAAAAGCGAGGAGATCAGTGGCAGCACAGTTTCCACCTGACCAACACCCATGACCTTTGTCATTCCAGCTAATACAAACATTTTGAGGTCCATAGATATGTAGACCAGTGAAGAGTTGTCTTCTGTGTGCAATTTCAGCTTGTTTCAGTGGTCATATTTTAAAAATCTAAGCCAAAACAAAAATTTGTAATACCATAGCTCATCCCTGTCTTGGGATAAAAGCAGAGAAGGCACAGAGGCCAAAAAACTCCAATTCCACCTGGGCACACTGATAATCCTGTGAAAGAAGCCAGGTAATCTGAAGTATTCAATCACAATTTCTTTTTTTCTTCTAAAATACTCACCTGACTTTCCCTTTGGTGTTTCTAAGAACAGTTGCGGCAAAATTTTGTGTAACACCAACCAGACTGATGCCATCGACTTCCACAATTTGGTCATTCACTTGGATCCTTTCAGGGGAAAAACACAAAGATATAAATAACTGTGTGGATTCTTGTTTATTTTTCAGCAAAACTTAGCATACAGAGATTTTTTTAGATTGATTTTAAACAAAGACTTTAAACAAAAACTCAGTCATAAAATGATTGAAGTAAAAATGCATCATTCCTTGCACACAGACATCTCATAAATCCAGCTTCAAAGTCACCATTACAATTAATAGCATCAATCATCCAGTTGCTTTCCTTGTACATAAATACAGCAACACAAACTCTTGCATTTGTCATATGACTTAAATTAAATGAGATACTCGAACAGTTCTTATATCATTCTTTCCTAAGCCAATCTTGAAAAACAGCATAAGACATAGCTCTGGTATTTCACGCTAATGGAAAAAAAATGTGATATTTAACTAAAACAACCTGCTCATCTGTGGAGAAAAGAGCTTATGCATCAGACTTAATTGTGACCTACTCTCTTAAAGTATTTCATCTAAGTTGTTCCAAAAAGATGAATTCCCAGTATAAATGTGGTCTTGCTGCACAAAATAATAAGACCTTGGTCTGTTTTAGTAAGGACTCTCTCTTTGAAACCAAACACCTATTTACAGTCAATACTGTTTGATGCAGGAAAAGTTAGGTGGAATAAAAAACATGCTGCTTTTATTTGAAGCAAGCACTGCTACAAAATCCCTAGAGCAGGCATTGGGCTCATCTGGACTACAAATGCCTGGAAGGAGGACTGCTATACTAAAATGTCCTCCAGAAATGCACGAAGTCCTATCATTTCAAAAATTAACACACACCTCCCATTCAGAACTAGTGAAAGGGAGCAATTTTCAAGTACTTACATGGATGCTACTCATCCAAACAATATAGTTTACAAAAGAACCGAGAAACAGCTATGAAAAAAATTCCATTTAAATTATATGAAAATACCTAAATTAAGCTATTTGATATCTTAGGATATCTTAGTGATGAGACTTCTTTTCAAAGAACAACAGAGGCTTCAAAAGAGAGCTGGAGCATTTTGACTTGGAGCACTAATTTCTCTGTTAAGTATGGCGCAACGCTTTGCAGTTGTACATGTGTTCAAGCAGTATCTTCAGTTCTTTGGACTCCACTGATGAGTAAGAAATACAAGATTTATTCTTTGGCAGCCTCACACCACAGAATGTCACTGTGTTCTGGGCAAGATCTCCCTTCTGTATATAAGAAACCTTGAAAAAATCATCTTCATGACAGCTTATAAACTCCTATCTTGAAAATCATATCAGGGATTTTAATCTCAGAATTTTATTTCAGTTTTCACTGAAGTATTTAATAAATACACCAATGACATTAATATTTATTGTATTTTGATACTGTAAAAATTAGTATTTTTTTTTTAATTTTAGCAAACATGAGGTGCAGTCAGATGGCCACAGGAGTTCCAAAAAACGAAGTTTAAGAAGTTGGTGCCCACTGAGTGGGAAGCTGTCACCCTCTTGGCTGAAAACTAAATGGTGGAAGAACAGACTCCTATCTGATGGCAGTTTACCCACAACACTTTACATACTCCACTATGCAGTGGACTAGCAGTGTTCACATAGATACACAGTTATAGCATTTCAGGTGGTGAAACGTCATGTTAGAGAACTGTTGCCTGCAGTTTCTAAGTGGCTCCATTTTGATCTACTGCAATTGAGTCTGATTCCGCTTGTCCTTCAGGCATATTTTGTATCTCCTTCTTTCTTGTTTGTACAGCTCCTAAATTAATTTCCAAGTTGTATTTTTATGGCCATTGTTCTCCAAATTTAATTATATATACATACATACCAAAGAACATACAATTAACATAATTGTTATTCAAATTATATAATTACATGTACATTTGCTGTGTGCACTCTATACTGCCACATACTCTCACAGCCATATTCTCCTGGCCATCTTTCTCTTCCTCGGGCATCCCCTCTCCAGCCCCACTCCCACACAGCTCTGTACCTGTAGCCTAGCCCTAACTCCCCAGCCAAGCCACCCCAGGCACCATTTACACCAAAATACTCTCACAGCCATGTTCTCTGGGCAGCCTTCCCTTTAGAGCCCACTCTGGTAGGAGCTCTAGGCTTCCTCTGTCTCTCAAATCTAATTTCAAACATGAATGAAAAATTTGGCTCAGGTTGGCAAAGCCTGAATTATAGAGGTTTAAGTGCTTTTATCAGCAAGGAAATTGGTAATTCTTCTGACAATTATTTTCTAATGGTCATGGCTTAAATCTTTGCCTATTTGAAGCAGCACTTCAATGAAGTAGCAACTACAGAAATGAACCCATTAAAGTTTAACAAATTACTTGCATAATTACTGCTCTGTATGATGAACTGAAAAATTTAACCTGTGCAGAGACATTTAGAGTACTTTTCAAGTTAAGAACTGTGTCTGTTGTTCTCAATATTATCAAAATAATTTAAAATGTGAATGACTCATCACCACAATAATTTGAAAGAAGCAGCTATGTATTCATCCAGGAAGATTTTATTTTTCATATTCAGTCTAATGATTGATTTCATATTGTACACAGTATTAATAATCTCTCTTATTACTTATCAACATGCTTGCCTTTGGATTCATCTCGAAGGACCCTCCATGGCTAAATACTGCCACACAATGCCTTTGATATGACAACTGAACACTACCTGTTTGTTTGCATCAACATGAATCAAGCCAGCCGTGTTCAATCACTGAGAAACCCCTTTGTACAGATTTTGGGTTTCCATGGGCAGCAAGTACTTTACATCACGATTTGATGGGTCTTTCAATAAAAGATGGGAGTTATCCTACAGATATTCTAATGTTTTAAATTGTACTTTCAGAACAGCCTGCTTGAAGATTGCTCTGTGGTGATTTAGAATATCTGATGCAACTGCCGAAACATAGTTTTATTTTCTGTTAGGAGACTTTGTTTTGTTATCAGTTTTAATGATTAACTAGGCTCTTCACAAAGATGAAGTTAACAGGACCATTTAGAGTGATGCACTTTATTACAGAACTGGCTGCTCCTGACTAAGAGGATTACATATCCCTTTCCCAAGTGAATGATCAGTCAGGCTCTCAAAAGAGAAAATCAGAGGGCTATTTCTCAGCTGACTGAACATTCAGCCAGTTGAAAATCAACACAAATATTAGAATGGTCAAAGAGAGACATTATTTTTTCTCAGGTGACAAGCTCCTTTCAGATGCCATCTAGGGAAATGAAAGAAGAGACTTGTGATTGAACATTAACTTCTGTAGCCCACTCAAACATGTGAATAATGAGAGGAACAGAAAACACAGATCATCACAGAGCAGAAGGGAGTAACTCTGATTTTTAACCAAAGCATTTCACACAGAATGCCAGTCGTGAACTTAATGCCTTCTGGCTGAGCTCAAGCATACCTTTCAGAAAAACATTTACTTAAAGTAATGGATGAAGTAATGACATCTTGAGGTGTTAGCTTCCTCACTTCCCTTCATAATTTTTAAGCCTATGATAAATCGGTATGTGGCCTTCAACCTGGTACCTTATTGCCAAGACCTGTAAAGATACCTGCAATCCCAGTGTGGAAGACAGCATACTTCAGTAGTTTCAGAGCAATGTTATTAAGCTTTGCAGCCCCCTGCCATGTAGAGCCTTCTGATTTAATTTGTGTGGGGTTTCCACAGCAGAACAATCTTTTGCCTGGCTGAAAAGTTATATGTGTTCATCAATAAGGAACATGTTACTGCAATACACTTTTTAGAAGACAGTATCAACTTTTTAGAGTTTATTCTTACTCTATTTACCTACACTTCTGTTTGGTTTTATTTAAAACCAATATAACAAATCATTAATGGTTAAATTAAGTAATATTTTATTTGCATGAAAATTTTCAAAGGGTATGCACTGGGACAAAACAACAAATTATATGGGTTGGAAGATGTTTAAGAATACTTTTCATTACTAAATGATTACATAGTAAAGTGTTTTTCTAAATTTTAATGAGAAACATTGGTCTGATTGTGGCAGGTATTGTGTAATATACAGATAACTCTGTCCCGTACGATAGAAAAGACTGTATGTTCAAAAGGAATTCTTTAACCTGCACATACCAAGTAAGCGATTCTAGAAGCAACCAGGTTTTATATGAGCATTGTACAAACACTAATTCATTTCTTTAGTAGGCAAGAGTTTTGGTACAGCTTCCCATTCCAACAGATCAATGCACTTTCAGTGCTGTATGGGTGATAACTGAGTTCTGAAGCAGAAGACTATGCATAATAAGAAATACAAAGTAACAACCTGTCTCAGTAAACTTGAAAGGAGAGGTATTTAGCAAAGAGTTTAATCATTCAGATACACTAATTATTTTCCTAATCGAATGTTGAGCAGAAATCTTTTTCGTAAGTACTGATTGCTTAAAGCTGGTTTGAAGCAAAAAGAATACATGGGAGCTCAACACCTTTAAAATCTAAACTACCTTCAAAAGTGATACATAATTTGTAATCTCCAGCTTTACTCACACTAAAGCATCTGGGTTTTCAAGTAGTCATGAACACAAATCTTTGGCAAATGTGTTCTCCTTAAGCAGTTTAAAACTGGTACACCAAACTGGTGTCTTCTCATAACCACATCAGGTATTTGGACCTCACCAAGGAAGTCTCCGAATTTTACAGCTTTGAGTTATAACGACACACATTAAGCAAACAACTCTCATAATTCATAGTAACTACTGCTGGGAAGATTTCCAAATACCGAGTCTAGTTTACCTGCCATCTCTTTCTGCTGCCCCACCTTCTGTTACTGTTTTGACAAATATTCCCAGTTTTTCAAGGCCTGCATCTGCTCCGACTCCCATTCCAATAATGCTTATGCCAAGTCCATCTTCATCTGTGAAAAAGGAAAGCGGAAGCAGAAAATTCTTACATTTGATTTATACAGTTATTTGGCAGATAAACATTTATGCTTCGGTTCCTCTTTGTTTTCCGTGTCAGTAACATTAGTATCTTTTTACTTCCTTTTAAAAACTTTATTATTCTACCATTTTAATTACACACAAAAATATCACCTTCAACCTTATGAGGAACTCAGAAAATCAAGATTTTTACTCTTCCAGTGGAGAATGAAAACTTCACATCAAACACTGTGTAAAATCATATGCTAAAGGAGTGACACAAAACAATTTCCTTAGGGAAATAAAGAACTGCATGTCTCTCAACTACTTCTTTAATTCCTTATCAAACATTTCTTGAAATCCAAAAAGCCAAGGTGATTACTACAACAGATTCATCAAAATTCAAGATAGGCTCTGTAGGGATGTGTAGACTTCCTCAGACTTGTAGATCAGTGTCACAGGAACTGGAAAGGACACACATACCTTTTTCTAGTTCAACTGGGAAGAGCTCCAGCTTTTCCACACGCTTCTCGAGCTCATATTCAGCTGATGCAGCCACTGGGTCAACTTCATCATTTCTCCTGTCATAGTCTTCATTGGAATATGTATTGAAAACCTGTGGAAACAGACCAAAAATCGCTCAACTACTTACTCCAAAAAGACTTCCAACTTAGGAAAATAGCTATTGCTTTTGTCCTGTGATGTTGCAGAGTTGCCAGACGTGAAAACTATTAATCTACATTTACGCTGCCTGTGGATACCATTAGAGATTATGCTCCACATTATGTATCAACTTTTTAGGAGAGTAATACACACAGCTCTGGGTACTTTTTAAACTAACCAGGTTTGCAGGTTTATTATTTCAGCTCTAAAGCAGTAATTTTACACTGACTGCATTAACCTGATTATATTATTTACGCTACTTTCTATCCTAGTTTCAACAGGAACATGGCTTTCAATCAGAGATCATTCAGACCTTCAGGAGCTTCAAACAGTGAGGAAAAGCATATTTTTGTATTTTAGAGGTCAGAGTTTGCAAGCCTTATCCACTTACCTGTCCACATTTGGCAGTAATGAAAGAATATGCATTTTAGTGGTAATAATTTTACTAAACACCAGTCCCACGCATATATCATGTTCATTACTTCAAATAAAGGAAAGGAAATTCCCTTATCTCCTCTTCCTCTTTTACAGACACCTTACAGAAGATACAATTATGTAGCCATGTTTTTCTATATCACTGTTTCAATACAAAACACTGCCCTGTGCTATGTAGCTACAGGTACATTCAGGTCCCAAGAAGCCTGCTCTCTTACAGCCTTGCTTAGAGGCTCCGTAACGGCTGCCCCTGGAGGAAGCATGCCAGCTTGCTGCCCAGTGCAATGCCAGGAGCTGGGCTCATTTCCACCTGAGGTTTTGCCTCCCCCAAAAGCTGTTAGTGCAGATTAATTTCTTTTAAATAGTAAATATATTAAAATTGCAATACAAAAATACTATTCAATACTACTGTAAGTATAACAACTGCATCATGGCTACCGTAAAGCTACTGCAAAAAAAACCTCCCAGCTTTCTATAAAGTAGTGGTTGAAACAGAAAAGATGTTAGTCACTCTGGAAATTTTAACTTCGGTATTTTACACCAATGTGAAACACTTAATAAATTGCCTCTTCCAAGAAGACTAAGATGATAAACATTTTACAAGAATCCACAAACCTATCCCACATTGATTTTTAGTGATATTGATGCAAGAAAAAGGCTGTTTTAACTAAATCATGTTCCCAAGAAGCCTTCATAAATATATCCAAAAGCTAAGTAAAATGTCACATACTAAATGCTGTCCAATGCTGCTGGATATTTTATGCTGCTTTAGTATGTATAAGATTGGAGAAAAGACACTGATGTGGAAATAATCATAAGGAAATGTAACAATTTACTTGGTCTATAATAACCTGCAAAATCTATGTGCAAGTTCTGGCAACGCAACACACAAATGGAGAAGCTGAGCAAATAGCCCTTTCAAAATGTAAGTGATCATTTTCAGCTCCTTCCCTAAGCTTATGTTTGTGGATGCAATAACTGCGTCTGCATCGGGTTCTTTTCAAAGGCCTCGAACTGTGTATTAATTTCTGCTCCTGCTGTTAACCCCATTGGGTGTTTGAACTCCCAGTTAAAATGGAAAACAAAATGGAGGGTGTCCATACCTGCTTGACAGTCTGACAGAGGAGCTCTGAAAAGTGTTTTGTTACTCCACATCTTTCACACATCTCTTTTACACAAGATAAAGCCTTCTTCATGTTATGTACCCCTGCCTGCTGCTTCTCTGTGAGTCTGAATGCTTGAAGACAGGAAGAATCATGAACATGGTTTTCTATGTAGGCCATATCAAGCTAGAAAACAACCCATGGTTCTAATGATGCTTGCCTGTATGTAGTGAAAAGAAGCAGGTAGGGGACAGAAGGCCAGCCCATTTATCTTTTGATTGTGAGATGTACGTACGACTCATGACAAACATCTCTACCCTGACACAAGAACAGATCACACCAGGCAGAAGAACTCAATCAATGGCAAGGAAAAGCCCTGCGGCAAGCAGGGATAAGCTCCCCTGGCAGCTAACCTTCTCTCTGGTTTGCTGTCAAAGATGACTATTCCCACTAAGGGCTCAAAAGCCAACCTCATTCATGCTGACATCAACCAAAATAAGGATCAATCAGTGGAGCTAGACCCAATTAAAACACTAGTTAGCCAAGGCTTGACCACTAACCTTTAGGTTTGAAATGCGGCAGCCATGTAAGCAAGTACAGGTTAAAAACAACAGCTGTGAGTTCAGCTTGGATTGTCTCATTTCTGAGCATGATGAGAGAGACCTGTGTTTCAAATGTGGAACAGAGACGGAAGTTACGAAGGAAAATGGAGATACAGTCACTAGCTGTTCAAGGATGGTGAGAGAGGCAGAGAAATATCGCTTGCTGAAGACAATACATGAGGGTGAGGCATAGGGAAAAATTATGTCACAAAATGAGTATATTTATTTCTGGATTCCTTTTCATCATGTTAGTTTACTCCCAATTTTTCTACCTCCCCCCCCCCAGAGGCACAGGGAGATGGGGAATGGGAGCTGCTGTCAGTTCATCACACGTTGTCTCTGCCACTCCTTCCTCCTCAGGGGGAGGACTCCTCACACTCTTCCCCTGCTCCAGTGTGGGGTTCCTCCCACAGGAGACAGTCCTCCATGAACTTCTCCAACCTGAGTCCTTTCCATGGGCTACAGTTCTTCACCAACTGCTCCAGCGTGGGTCTCTTCCACGAGGTGCAGACCTTCAGGAACAGACTGCTCCAGTGTGGGTTCCCCATGGGGTCACAAGTCCTGCCAGCAAACCTGCTCCAGTGTGGGCTCCCTTCTCCACAGGGCCACAGGTCCTGCCAGGAGCTTGCTCCAGCATGGACTTCCCACGGGGTCACAGCATCCTGCAGGCATCCACCTGCTCTGACGTGGGGTCCTCCATGGGCTGCAGGTGGAATCTCTACACCCCCTCATCCTTCCTCCATGGGCTGCAGGGGGACAGCCTGCTTCACCATGGTCTTCTCCACGGGCTGCAGGGGAATCTCTGCTCCAGTGCCTGGAGCACCTCCTCCCCCTCCTTCTGCACTGACCTTGGTGCCTGCAGAGTTGCTCCTCACATGTTCTCACTCCTCTCCTCTGGCTGCTGTTGCACAGCAGTTTTTTCCCCCTTCTTAACTCTGTTATGCCAGAGGCATTACCACCATTGCTGATTGGCTTGGCCTTGGCCAGCGGCCTTGGCCAGCGGTGGGTCTGTCTTGGAGCCGGCTGGCATTGGCTCTATCAGACACAGGGGAAGCTTCTAGCAGCTTCTCAGAGAAGCCACACCTGTAGCCCCCCTGGTACCAAAACCTTGCCAGGCAAACCCACTACACTGTTTTTTGTACATTGGTTATATGATCTTGCCCGCTGCCTTCAACATGTGTTTTGACTAGGGGAAGAAGTAGGATATTCTTGTATGTCATTTACCTCATTTTGCACAATCACATTTAATGGTTGACTGATTCTATTAAATGAATCTCTGGGTGTTAAAACGAAGAAAAGAAAATTTGTGCTTGAAAATCTTCTTTCTTTCTGAAACAGTCTATCCACCATAGTGACAACCTGCTTGCTCAGTACAGTCATGAGAACTGTCACTCAAGATTTTACTTTGCTAAAAATAAAAGAAACAGTTATAACTTTTTCCTCAAAGTATGCTTAACTTGATTTAAGTAGACCTAGTTCACCACGCCCGCTGCCGCTGTGTTTCCTAGAGTGTGTGTGGGATTTCAGACTCATGGGAATTCTTCCATTCCCTGTGATTTAACAGATGTTGTTCTGCCATCACACTGGCCAAGTACCCACTACAATAAAGTCTACTGGGCCATTACTTAAAGAAAGCTTTTTTTCAGGAAAATCTAATACATCATCTTAATCTCTGATTGTACCTCCCCAGGTATTTAGGGGGGAAAAAAGTTTTGATGGAATTCACCTGTGACATTTACTAGGATTTACAACAGCACTTGTAATCCAGTAACAGTGGAAATAAAAAGCCACCAACAGCGGTGACAACCCAACAGATACCAATGCGCAATGTGTATGTCAAAACAAACCCCAAAAAACTGATGGGCTCACTCCAACACTGCTGTTAACAGAACATACTTCTGTCTTCTCTAGAGTGAAGGAAAAAGGTCATCAGTGATTCATCCAGCACCAAAATAAAGACAAATCGTATGATCACAGAAGCAGGTGTTATTGTCAGCCACCCTGGTGGCGCCCCAGGGAAATCATACATACACATACATGACTAACTGCTTCTCTTTCAGAGAGCAGTGACACAGCACAATCTAGAAAAGACATGCCACTAACTATAAAAATATGTTGCAGGCTCTAATTCAGAAAAAAACCACTTTTTGGTTCTAATACTTCATTTTATGAATAAGACTAGAAAGATGGGAATTGATTTTTTATTCTTGAAAAAAGGAAAAGTTTTATAAGTTTGGGGCATTTTCTCATATCTCTCAACTACCAAGGATCTTTACAGAATTTTGCTGGCAGTAACCAGCAGATAGTGACAACTTTTTTTTTTTTTTTAAAGGAAGTCAGAATGGAGATGAACTATGAAGAATCAAATGGGCTACTCTCCCCATGGGTTAGTCAGCTTGGCGCTACATTGACCATGTTATTAGTGTTCATGCTATAAACTCTGCAACATAAAAACTGTCTCATCTGATGTGTTTAAGAAAGTCCCAAACATACTGAGTATACGCTGGATATGCCTGTACTGTCTTTGCAAGTTGTGTTACGAAACCAGATCTGATTCCAGGTTCACCTGCTGCTGCCTGCCTTGCCATCCATGCTTTTTTACCCCTCCAATGACTGGTGGCCACCAAAGAGAAAGAACCATGCAAGAACTGCATATTGGTGGATGGCACCTTGTTGCAGTAGCTATTCTACCACACCTTCAGTTACTCAAGTCTAACACACACATAAATAGTTTCTCTGATGTGCAATTCTTGATTACACCAGGTCATTCCATGTCGGGCCACAGCCAACATAAACTGGTGATCACTGCGTAA